TTGAGTAAAGACCCCGAGTGTTGACATATTATCGGGTTCTCGGGAGGGAACAGATCGTTCTTGTGGACACACCTAACGGCGAGGACATCCAATCAACCAATCGATCAATTGGTCATTTCATTAGCACTTTCACTCATATATTTGTCAAAATTACACTATTTCTCAATTATCTCAATATCTCATTAAATCCTATAATAATTAGGAAATTCCCTTAACTTTAGGTCTCAATATTAAAGTCGGAAAATATATAATTATGGCATAAATCTACGAAGTGTTTGACTTTAGGGAAATATTCATTTCAATGTGTTTTGCAGTCGACATGAAAGTAGGCTTAGTTTCTCAATCAATCAATAATTGAATCCAATTATGAAATTATGCTGAAAGTGAGAGAACAGTAAACAAATGAAAGCAATACCTATACGAGTGAACGATCCGTTTGTCCTCATCGACGGACGTCGAGGCAAAGCACAGGCCATCGGTTTCGCACGTGTGGTTCGACTCCGGAGGACAGATATCGCAATGACATTTCAAACCTATAGTAACCATACAATTGGTTAATCATTATTTTGCATGTCATATGTCATACAAATCTACACAAATATTTTAAGTAAATTAAAACCATTTTTTTATTTCTCACAATTTTTGTGTTGAATTTTAATGACAAGTTTGAAGCGAAAAGAAAAACAAATTTAAATTATAGCTTATCGTCAAAAACATGTTATTTTTTGATCAATCTTTGGGTCAGAGTTTCCATAGAGATTGAGCTAACGTTTTAAGTCTCATTACTTGACACTATTTTTAGACATTTAAGCCCTTCTCTAACTCAGCAATCATTTCATCATAAATTAGAATTAAGACAATCAAAGCATACTATTTAGTCACATATTTAGTCTACACTATAACCAATATCACCATCATCGTGATAAAGCAATTATTTTTAATTCATATACAATATGGTTAAATACGAAATATATTTGTGTAGTTAATATTGCATATCTCGAATCCTGTGAAACTCGAATTCTCTATAACCATTATTTTAAAAAACTCGAACCTCTGTATTCCTACACGCAAATATTTTTCTCACCTTTCACTGCACTTCACTGTACTTTTAACATAATCTAAAATATCAACATTTTATTTTAGAAAAATATCATCTAAACGTTATCATAAAAATGAACCCAAAAAGTGAATCAATTAACATTACCATCTCTTAATTAAAATGGCATATTTCAGCATAAATGTATCAATTAAATC